GGAAATGAGCTCAGGTTTTGTTTTCAAAGAAGGAAAAGGCGATTTAGGCGATTGAATCAATTTGATGATTATTTAAACTAATTTCTACAGCGCAGTTAATTTTTAGCCCCAATTGCCTTTCCTTTTCAATAAAGTTAAGGTTGCTTGTGTTGTATAACCTATATCGACTGTGTTCTTTTTATAGCAAGTGAAGAAACCAGATTGGGCTCCATCTGACGTACGACTGTATTCCGTTATGGACATACTGGCGCTGTCACCTCTTGGGTATGCCTCCTACCTTGTGTACAAGGGAGGGTTGGTATTCTTGGCTTTACGTCAACACTTTACTATCATTGCATAGTGGAGCATCCTTTCTTGCAGGTTTCGATTACACTGACACTCGTTTGGCTTTGGGTCTTTACGGAGCAAACATGATGTTTGCCCTTACAACTATTCCTCTTGTGAAGAAGAAGAAACCTGGGCTGCGTGAGTTATTTGCTGTTCTGGTTTGTTTTATCTCTGAGTGGATGTATCATGAGTCGTCATAATTTTAGCTGTGGAAGAATACACTTATGGTTCACTTGACCGCTGCTGGAGCTGCATACGCGTTTTACAAGGTATTTTTGCCATATTAACGTCTAGTGACGATTGATTGAATGAACTGCGTTTCGGTTACACAATGTAAGATAGCTATTCATACAAGCATCCAGACTTTAAAGCTATTCAGTTTTTAGGCATTCAGGTCTGGAAGGTGGGCTATTTTGAGAGTATTTTAAAAACAAATTCTCTGAAGATCAGAACTGTGCACATCCCCTGCACTACTTAACTCAAACACTCGGGTAAACTATCGATTCCCTCAAGCTAGAAGTCAGGGGCTGGGCAAGAAGTACTTCTTCTATTCTTCCGTGAAGAGTTAGCAATCAGACGGTGAATCTATGTACCAGAGCTCCTATAGCCCTGACTTCGCTCCTATTCGGTTTGGACGAGAAAACTGTAGCTCTGACCTGGCTTAGTCAGTTTGGACGAGAAAACTTTGGGTGAAGGGTGAAGACGGGAGTCACTTGAAGGCTACTCCAACCAGAGTCTCAGCTGCCGCTCAGAGCTTGGAAGGAAGCTGGGGCTTGTAGTTAAGGAGGAGAATCAACAAGCTGCCTGTGCTAGGTTTGACTTCGCAATGGCAAACCTACCTGAGCTTCACTGCCGAGTGCTAAACGGTATGATGCATGCCAGGCGGAACGACAGTCCAAAAAGTCCAAGAAACCGATTATTTAGGAGCACCATTCTGTGACTTTTTTGGGGGTAGATGCATAGGTGAAGAGGTTCTTGTCAGTTGAACCTCTAATTCATTTTGCAAATGAATGTAACTCTACGTAACAAATTTCTGAAACCTCAGGCAGGAAAAGGATGTCACTTACACGAGATTATCAATTTGCCAATCTGATCCATTGTGCAGTTGGAAAAGAGCTGGAATAATTTGGTAACCTGCTTTTTACTTCTTGTAGTGGAAAGGTGGGTAGTCTCAGTCGTATCCAGATGTCGCTCGCCTGAGGTTCATTGCTACTGTCGTTTTTTACGGGCTTCTCGGATTCGTCTTGAGCTGTTGGAAGAAACTATTGACCAGAGCCATACAGCGCAGCTTCGGCGGCTGTATTCTTGACGGTCATACTCCTTTTGAACTCTGAGTATATTTTTGAGAAGCTACTGAAGGATTTGCCAGAGTCATTGGTTGATGCTCGGTTTGGTTCAAGTCTTTATGAAGACGGGTGTGTGAGTATTGTCTTTTCAGCACTAAAAAAATTGTTTAAAAAATCTAAGTCTATTTCAAATATAAGTCTAAGCAAATATTGCAGATCGACAAGCAAGCTGGAATGTGGATGATTCCTTACGCGGTTTGGACAGGCTTCTATGCTTTCCTGACCTATTCGATTGACAAGGAAAACCAGGTCATCAAGGACATCTAAATCAGCAGATATTGAAATGTGTCTGCTTCTGTTTTACTTGCTATAATTTCTGACCGTTGTTTCTACGAGGCATATTTGCATCAGTTATATATGTTTACTTTATTATGTTGTACATAACCATTTACGCTAAGCTGATAATTTAGAGCAGTTGTAATGTTTCATGCTTTATAAACTTTTAGTGAAAGTATAGGATGTTCTAGATGAGAAATCTGTCTTATCTCCTGAATGAATATTCTAGACTTTTCGCCTTCATCACATTGCAGGGCGTTTTTCGTGTTCCTACCTTCCAAATCCCTTTTGGAGGCTCCTGTTGCAGTAATCAAGTGATTTTATTTAGGTGGCTTAGGCGAATGAGCTTCATTTATCGTAAGGTTAGTAGCGCTGGTTTTCAGAATGTTTCAGTTTTTCAAATATATTTTGGTTGCTTCTAGCAAGCAAATGGTGGGAGGTGATACAGACACAGTTGTTTGATATAATTGGTTCTGGCTGATTATTGGCCTTTCTGTGACTTGAACTGCGCATGTTGGTTATCGGTTGAGAAAGGATGGTGTTAAGGGAAGCAGTTCTTAGAAATGATTAAGAACATGACTGGTGCGGTGTCAGACTCGGCGAATTTGTAATCCCGCGGTTCTGAGGCATGTCAGAGTAACAACTGAGAAGGGGCATCCAACGCAACCGTACTGTTCGGAAGCGAGACAGCTGTCGCTGTCGTGATTGCGCAGTCGCTGAGTCTGACATCCACAGGCCGACGTCATACTTTGCGATTCGATTAGCGATTCGCTAGCGAATTGAGCGAATCGCAAAGTATGACGTCGGCCTTATCTTACGGTTCTGTGCAGCTGATACTTCCTAACCTCCACAACTTCCAGTCTGTGAAGCTATAGAATTACCATCATCTTTATAAATAAAAAAAAATGGGAGTTGTTCGACTTATGAAGAAATCGCGGAAAAAAACGGAACTGAATTATGTATGTAAAAAGCGGTATGTATAGACCAGCATGAAGCTTCCCATGTAATCTAAATTCATGGTTATATCTTGAGGAAATACGAAAACCAAATGTATAAAACGTCTACAATGAAGTAAACGGCAAACACGCATCGTAAGTATCCTGGAGCCACGCTAATTCTTTTGATCGCAAAGTGTTTGTTTTGGCGCATTTATAGTCGGTCGTCCGATCGTAACGATCGCACAGCGTTAGGTAGGTATCGATCGTCTAATCCTCGGACACGTCTGACGATCGATACGCATCCAGTGCTTTGCGATTACGATCAGACGACCGACTATAAATGTGCACTCATGGTAATGAAAACGGCTGGGGTATCGGTTTGTTAGGTTTTCGATTTCAATATGATACTTTTTGAAAGCCGAGAGATTTGTGATTGTGTATGATTCCCTTCCTACGCAGGACGAAAGCGTCGAGAACGAGGATGTATGGGACGATACAGAGTTGATTAAAATGTACGAGCACTCCGTCAGCGCGACCTATGTGAGTTCTCTATGGTATTTATTTTATTGAAGCTCAGGCTTTGTTATGTATAAATGATTGAACAAAATCAACGGGTCTGGTGTAGGTGACGTTCTTTTTTCATATCTAATCTGAGGCTAGGTGACAGAAATGGGTGGGCAGCAAGTGCTTCACACAATATTTTGCGTTCTTTCGCTTCGTCTTCCTGCTGT